TGTTGTTTAGAGTTGAAAAGGAGATGATGTAGTTTTCGGAAGTTTCTTAGGTTCTGGTTGGGCTACATGTTTCAGCACTTGCTAGCTTGGGGAAAATGATTAGTACTATAGTTCAAAAAAGTAACCAAGAAAGCCTGCTGTTTGTATGTGTATATGCAAATGCAACTCTTGATTATTATTATTATTATATGCTTTTTCTACATTTTGTCTATTATAATTTAAAGCTGGAGGACTATTAATTGGGGTTGGATGCATAGATGGAAAATGAAATTTCAGATTATATGTATCAAGCAAAATCATGTTTCTTTACCTGTTTCTTTCTTTATTTTATTTTTTTTATTTTTTTTATTTTTTGCATTGTTTCCTCTTTTAATTTGTTTGTGGTAAAAAAAAAATATTAATTGCTCTATTATTTAATTTCCTTTACTTATGTTTAGCTGCTCTATTATTTAATTATTGCTTACGGTCACATTTTACTTACCATAACTCTTGTGACAAAACGATTTCTTCATCATCTTGATGCTCCAATATTAGTAACTTTCGCGGCCATATATATTGACAGGAAATTAATTAGTGCTGTTTGGTGATAGTGTCATTTCTATTTATTATGCATCTGATATGAAATTGGATAATATAGGCTATCGAAGAAACTTATTGATTTATTTAAATTATATATATTTTACCAATTAAATATCTTTATAAAACTACAAAGCCACATGCGCTAGTAATTGTAAATTAAATAGTGGTTCCATAATTTTTTGTTCTTAAATATCTGCTGCCTTCATTAATTCATTCAATCGCAGCCTTGGGGACAGGTGATTGATTTGTTTTGGACCGTTATGAAATTAAATATATCCATCCTTTTGATTAGTTTGATTGTTGAATCAGTGTACGGAAGTCTTCTTGCACAGTACACTGTGTCTGGCTCTATCAGGTTAAAAACTGATTCTCAGACTTTGGTCAGCCACAGACAATATGTATAGCAGCGTTCTATTCTATGTAACAAAACTGTATGAGGCTACACCTTCTGATTGCAGTGTATTAAAAAGCCTTATGGGCCTAAATTCTTGCGCCCTTTTTGTTCTCACTGATCAGTTTGCTCGCACAGCCAAGGATTTGTCGTACAATTATGCAGACTGTGATGGTAGAGACTGGCTTGAATGTGTTGTGTATTGATTGAGAGATTACTTTGTTTGCTAGCTTCTTCTAAGAAAAATTTGAAAAAAATCCAAAAGTCTCATAATTATAATAAAAAAATGTAAAATTTCAAAATAGTCTCGTGATATGTGTGTTTTAAAAACAGTCAGCATTTTATATATTTTAGAATGATGAAAATAAAAACAATTTTCGTTCAAGCCACAAAATGACACGTTAAGGGTGTGTTTGTATTTAAATAAACTCAATCCACCCTCAAAATCTAATTCGAATTTTAATTTAATTTCACTGTCCTCAATACTAGTACGCAGCCCGTGTGATACACGAAACAATAATATGTGCTATGAAGAATTTTTGTTGCGGGATCTAATCCAAAGTCAGAGTTATGCCGCATAAGCTCATTGTACATGGTATATTATTTTTTAAAATATTGCACTTGACTTATATATTGATTCTAAGTTCAGGCGATCCCTAACTTTTTCCAGCGTGATCACGCCAACGACGATTAGAAACATCAACCATAAGTTTAAGAAGTGCATTGCTCTCTTCAATAGTCCAACTTTGATATCCTAAACCTTGATCATTTTCTTTCACTGGATCTCTCATTGCCTATTACAGACTTTTTAATCCAAAAACCAATGAAAAAGAAAACTTATGGTAGCACTAGACTCTTTGACCTTAAGGACTTAATAAATCTTGAACACTAGAATAATATTTTTTACAACTAATAACCAAGGTTTTGCATGCAACACAATCAATACAAATTGTAATAACAATAACCACAACATAAACTTGTATATGCACTCACGTCTCCAGAGTTATTTAAATTTAAATTAGCAAATATACACAACATGTAATTACAGGAGTACAAAAAGGATGGCATTAAGAAATTTATAGAAATCAGGATTAGTTATATATGTCTTACAGTACAAAAAAATTGTTATCTTCCATGTGTAATAAAAATTGTTATCAGGATTAGCTATTGTAATAAAATTCAGGAGGGTAAAAAGGTAAATTAGTAATTCTGAAAATAAAAAAATTGAACAAATCTCGCAGTTAGAGAAGGTGTCACACACGCGCGGTTAACTTGGACGGAATGGGGGAACCGTGCATCTGTCACTTGAATAAAAGGGGGTCTGATGCAGTTTTTAAAACACAGTGGGAAAACGCGCACATTTCGTTAAACACAGGGGGGTTTGGTACAATTTACCCCATCAAAATATCAACTAACATCACAAAGATCAGTTCAAGCAAGAGGGGATGTTTGAATATAAGATGTTTTGATTTTGTTAGTTGATATTTTGATGTACTCTACTTTTTTCTAAGATGTCAGTTAAATAATATCACTCAATCATAATATAAGATGTTTTGATTTTGATTTTGTTTTACTTTTTGGTTTGATATGATTGAGTGATATTATTTAATTATATTGATAATATTGAAGACATTTGATTTAATTAAAGTTGAGTTAGATTTGAGTTGAAAAAAATGATTAGTTATTTAAATTTAAATTAGCAAAAATACACAACATGTAATTACAGGAGTACAAAAAAGGATGGCATTAAGAAATTTATAGAAATCAGGATTAGTTATGTCTTACAGTACAAAAAAATTGTTATCTTCCAACGGAAAATCCTACAATAATATATTCCAATGGATATTCCAATAGTATAGCTTTCATTATAATTATTCCAACGGAAATTCCAATGAAAATATTTGATGATTCCAACGGTCTTTTACCGTAGGAATTTCCGTTGAAATTTTTATATTCCAATGGAAAACTCATTCCAACGAAATATTTTTGTTAGAATTTACATTGGAATTCCATTAAAATATATTTGTATTGGAATTTTCCGTTGAAATTTCATCATTTTGTTGTAGTGTTACACATAGAACAAAGGGCATCAGGCCTAGAAAAAGAGTAAAAGAAGAAAAAAGCTTACACATCCCTTTCCCCTTTAGTCCTTATAAGAAGTTGATCTTATATTTTTTTTTTGGTACAAGAACTTGATCTTATATTAACANAAAATAAGTCCGCTCAACAAAAACTTTAACTGGCTAATCCAATTTGATACACATTTGTCAAAACGTTCTAATTTTATAGCTTGATTTTTTGGAGAAAGCATAAATAACAAGATAAATGCAATGTCTGCACAGAACTAACAAGATAAAATAGCTACGAAATAACTAAATTTTATCATTGGTAATTGAGTGTTCGCAAACGTCAAGAATAGTCTCAAAGAATTTGCCAACAGAAATGCAATGTCTGCACAAATTTTTCATCCCAACAACTTCATTTCCTCGCACCGATGAATCACCAAATTCGCGCCCACGGCCCAGGAGCAGAATTCATTACAGAGCACAAACCTGCGACGAAGATAAGGGTAAAATCGCGTCAAGGTCGAAGACGACGACTTTACATCCGAACGTGAGTGTCATTACGAGCACGTCAAACCCATTCGTTAAACATTGCGTCAAGCTTCGCCAGAGCTCCTCCTATCGCCATGTTCACGGCTCAGTTCTTGTTGTCGGCAACACCATAATTAGGTAGCTTTATTTTGCTGCTTTCCCTTTTCTTTAAGGTTTTCATCGAAATATGTTGTTGTTCTCTTCAATCTCACGAGTAAAGATTTTGGTGATGTTCTTTTGGTGGGGGATTGTGCTGTGTGCGGTGCATTATGCCATGTGAGCTAATGATGCATACAATGTGTTTGTTGAAAGTTTCCACTTAGAAAAAACCTGAACTTTCTTGTATTTGGTCTGAGTGAGTCGCTAGAGTTTGGTTCTATTTTGTTGTAGTGTTCTTGTTAACCAAAATTGTGAAGAGGCTCATTAGTTATGTGGTGAACTTGCCGCTCAGGTCCATAACTGGGGGAGAATGTTAGAACATTGGCCTTAAGGTTTATTATTAGGAGAAAAGGAATAGCTGAACGATTTCCAGTTTCCACCATTCAAAACTGTTTGAATAATATGTACATCAAGAAGAGTTGATACACCTAGGAAAAAGCACCAAATCTGAAAACCATGATGAGTTTCATCATCATAATTAAGATCGTTTGCATTGTAGTCTGTTTAGATGACACCCCTTTTCATTTTTATTGGTAAGTTTTCATTGAACTAATGCTTCTTTTGATATCTATCGTTATATAAAAAGAATAACTTTTTTACAAATTTAGAAATTTTTTCCCGCCAAAATCATTAAATATATCCTAATATAGTAATTGTTGGACAAATCTGAATAGGCAAAAAAATCGGCTCATTTTTTTTAGTTTATCAAAACCGTTGTTTGACAATAAATATTTGTTTTTTTTTCCTATTTTTAGTATACATCTACACGCTTATCCCTTCTGTTACAAAATCCCATTGCATACGATCTCACGTGTTTAAAAAATCTCATCCCTTATCTATACAGATTTAAAAAATAAAATAAAATAGAAACCAATTCATAATTACTACTAGAAATCCATTATTTTTAAAAAGAAAAAATAAAATAAAATAGAAACTAAATCATAATTACTACTGGAAATCCATTATCTACTTTAATAAGCTAATTTTCATCGGTCTAATTACTAATATTTTTACAAATATTATAAGCTAATCGGTCTAATTACTAATATTTTTACAAATATTATAAGCTAACCATACAAAAAAGTATAATAATAATTTTGAAATGGTGTGTAATCAAATTTTTTTATATTCTCTTATACAAAATAATTTTACATTGTTTGACCCCGAATCTTTAATTTATAATTATTAAGTATTGTTTATTCTCCTCTTTAATTTATAATTATTTTTTTTGCTTCCTCTTTTTAAATAGGAACAATAGTAGTTTCCACTTCCGTCATTGAGTGACTCAAACTCGAGGTCTATTTATAATATTATTAATTTAATATTGTTTCCGTGCATCGCACGGGGTATACACTAGTTTTACTGAAACACATTTCTCACATGTGCCGGAAGAACATTACAGACATGTGCTGAGCCTCTGGTACTAGTTCATATATTCTGCATATGTTTTTTAGGGTCAGAATAAATTCATATTCCTCCATCAAAAGCTTTTGGACTGTGCTGGACCTGTACATGATTGAAGATAAAATCTGTTGTTCCCCCGCACCATCATTGGGACATTATTCAGTGTATCATCATTTTACAATGAATATCTGTTGACTGTATCTTTCAGATCATTTTAAGCTTTATCTTCATTGCCCAATTTGTCTCTCCTCTCTGACTGTGTTGACACTTACTGTTGTTAGTTTACCTTGTTCAGGGAAATATTCAGGTTCCATAAAGCAGTCCCAAATGGACCTATAATAGATTGCTTATTCGTGCTAGACAACTTTTGTATCCCTGAAGAAATGGATGTTGATTCTGTTCGTGTGATCCTAGTTAATTCAGAGGTGATAAGAAAAGTTTCAGGTGTTCAGTGTGTTGATGCTGTTGAAGCCTTTGCATTAGTTAGAACTCCATCAACATATCACGTTGTTGCCAACAGCTTGCATGAAGAGGATTGGCATTCATTGTTTTCATCCCCCCATCGTGTTCTAGTTCTTGATAGAATCCAGGTATGCTTCAATTTTTTCTTTATTTTTTTATTTATTTATTTTGGGTGGGTGGGGCAGCTAATTGAGTTAATCGAAATACATTGCCTTTAAATTTTTATACAATGTACATGCTGTACCCGTTCCTGAACATTTGGAAGCTCAAGCTATGACATTTAATTTGCTTGTGAATGTGAAACAAATATAGCTAATCTGAATTTTAAGTCTTTTTACCAGTTTGAACTCATGTGACTTTGTATGCCAGGATCCTGGCAACCTTGGCACACTGATCAGAACTGCCACTGCATTTAGATGGGTAATAACGACTGTCACTTTCACTTAAAACTTTTTTCTCAGGAACTACATCATCCATTAAACTGGCCTTAAATGAAATTCTTTAAAACCATCATCTGGTGTTCCATCCAATTCTTTTCAATTCTAAATGTGAATGTATTTACAATTTTTTTTTTTTTTTAATTTTTTCATTTCACACACTTTTTTGTTTCATTATTACATCATAAATGTAATTGAACTCCACAGGACGGAATCTTTCTTCTTCCAGGGTGCTGTGACCCATTCAATGACAAAGTCCTGCGGGCCTGCCGAGGGGCCTGCTTTCAGATCCCAATAGTTTCTGGTGACTGGGCCCACGTCAAAACCCTTACACAGGCTTTTGAGATGAGAATGTTAGCGGGCCACCCAACAACCAGCAACGACCCAGGTCCCGTTATCAAGCTCTCTCAAGATTTTGCGGATTCATTAGCGGATTCGCCTTTGTGCCTGGTCCTGGGCAATGAAGGTGGTGGCCTTTCTGATATTAGTCTGAGAGCTTGCGAGCTCGTGACCATTCAAATGGCGGGGAAGTTCGAGTCTCTGAATGTTTCTGTGGCTGGTGGAATTTTCATGTACATGCTGCAAAATGAGAAAAAATAACTGTATGCCGTTTATTTTTTTATTTTGTGTGTGTGTGTGTGTGTGTTTTTATCTTTGTTTTCTTGTGTGGGTCGGATGTGCAGGGCATGAAGATTGAAATGGAATGGAAAATGCATTTGACGAGGCTTAAAGGAGCTTGGTTGTGGTATGAAAAGCATGCCGCAAAAGGATACAACTTCTGAAACATATGATTCAAGGAGCCACATGCCATAAGATGTGGCTCATTTCATGAATCTTATAAGAAAAATTCGACACTAACAGTTCGTGAGGGTAGTATTCTCTCTGTGTTTTTTACCGTTGGATCGACACACGATCCAACACACTCATGTGGATATGGTGTGCCCTTACGTGATATTTTTAGAGCATATTGCAAATTTAGTCCTGTATGTTCTAGCCATTTCCAAAGTAGTACGTTTTTTGAATTCATCTTGTATGTATACCAAAATATCGTTCTGTTGGAAAAATTGAAAGTCGTCGGACTTGCACACTTGCCATCCAAGTGTAGTCAGAAAAGCACACGTGTTCTCCAAGGTGACCAATTGTTGATTTGGAACCCATGTAGATCTTAATAGAGCATTGGAGGTCGAAGATGGTCAGGTCGATGGTGACCACAAAGATAAGGGATCTCACCAGGTCAAGCTAGGGTTCTCAGCCTGATAGAAACTCGAACTAGAGGCAGGTAGGTCAATAACGCGACCTAAAGGAATACGCTGAAGGTCGGAGCAACCTGGTTCAAGTGAACCGTCTAATGAGCTAGTCTAACGTGAACACATTACATAAGAGATAAGAATGAATATTATTAGGGTAAGAACCACACGTGGATCAGACCACGCGGCCTAACAGAATCGGGAAGTTTGGGCACTCGGCAACACGAACGGGTAGCTCGGGCAAGAGGGCAGCCCAGTCGGGCAGTTTTGGGCAAAAAGTTAACACTTTTATATAAAGGAGTGAGGTATGACTATTTACACTCTACACACCTTTTTATACTTACAAGCTATATGTTAATTAGTTATTGTTCATCATCTTCCTCATACACTTACTGACTTGGTCGTAGGAGTCTCTACGTCGGGACCACTCCCGAAGTTGTTTTGTATGTCTATCGAACGAGTCGAGTGCGGGTCCAAGGTCGCAGGAGCTGATCAAGGTCGTTTACACACCAAACTTTTTTGGCAATTAGCTCATACTGTGAAGTGTACTAGCGGATCATGAATCGTATTAGTTTATTTGGCTAGCGGATTCAATTAGATGAATAGTGAAAATTTGTATGTGATGATGTTTTTTTTTTTTTAACTATCCTTCCCGAAACGATACTATTAAATTTTTCAGAATTAACATTTTGGATCTTAAAAAACTAATCAAATAAACTTGTTACTAAATATGGAAATTAGCGGATTTGATTATGCAAGTTTCAATCCACTAAATTATCACCAATCCATTATTAATAAAATAAACTTGTTCATTGATTTGCTGATATAAAATGTCAGAAAATTATATATATATATATATATATATATATATAATTATTAATATAATTGTTGTTGAAAATAAATATTTTATAGTTTTGTCTGATTGAAATTTTGTTTAATTAAAAATCTATCATTATATAAAAAGAATAACATTTTTACAATTTTAGAAATGTTTTCCCGCCAAATACATTAAGTGTATCATATATATAGTAATTGACAATATTGATAAGACAACAAAATCGGCAGATTAATTGTGTTAGAATCTGTTTTCCTTTTTCTTTTTTCTTTTTTTTATATTGAAAATCGCGTTTTAAAATCTTATAGCATAAATCTAGAGTTTATCTCTTATCTGTTACAAAATCTCATTGCATATTTAAAAAATCTCATCTCTTATCTATAGAGATTTGAAAGAATAAAATAAAATAAAAATCAATTTATAATTACTACTAGAAATCCATTATCTACTCTAAAAAGCTAATTTTCATCGGTCTAATTACTAATATTTTTACAAATATTATAAGCTAACAATACTAATATTTTTACAAATATTATAAGCTAACAATACATCCTCGATGGTGTGTAATCAAATTTTTTAGATGGAAGTAACGCCATAAATTCGGTATCATCTGACATAATGACTTTTTTAAATTATGCTTATAATATTTTAGATATTTTAAACAAATTGTTTAGACATTTTTTTACATATTCGTCTATATATACATATATATATATATATATACACACATATACCTAATTGATGTTAAATTTAAATATTTGTAGACATGTTTTCTTTACAAAATAGTTTAGAAATTTTTTTTTTACACCATGTTAAATTCAAATGTTTTTAGATATGTTTTCCTTCTAAAATTGTTTAGAAAAGTTGTAGGTGACTTCACATCTTTCAGAAATAATATAGAAAATTTTGAATACTTTTACATATACTAATATAATATTTTAGGTGTTTTTAATATTAAACATACAAATTTTATATTCTCTTATACAAAATAATGTAAATTTCATATTCTCTTATACAAAATAGTTTTACATTGTTTGACCCGGAATCTTTAATTTATAATTATTAAGTATTGTTTATCCTCCTCTTTAATTTATAATTAATTTTTTTTCTTTCTCTTTTTAAATAGGATCAATAGTAGTTTCCACTTTCGCCATTGAGTGACTCAAACTCGAGGTCTATTTATAATATTGTTAATTTAATATTGTTCCCGTGCATCGCACGGGATACACACTAGTTTACCTTAAAAAGTCATCTTCTCCTTCCCCGAAGAAAAAAGAAAATCTTCTTTCCTTCTAAACCATAATTTAATTAAGCTCTCCATGTGCCTTCCCCAGAGAATTCCTTCCAGCGTTCACGGCGTCGACCGTCACCGGGCGTGCGACTTGGTTCCTGGAGAATCGTTGCCCGAGGCCGCTTATTTTTCGTCGGTGGAGTTGGAGGATCGTCGCTTGTGGATCTCGCCGTTCTCTTGGTCGCCATGACAGGATGGAGGTCCAACAGCTCTCTAGCGTATTGGTGGTGGTGGGCTTCTGACGGTCTAAGGGAGCTAGATGCGGCTCTGATCGCCCTCTAGGAGGGGGTCGGGGCTGAGGTTGGGTGGTCTCTTCACCCCCCCCCCCCCACCCCACGGGCGCGCGCGCGTCCCCTTCTCCTTAGGGGACGACCGACGGTGTCGTGGTCCGTGATTTGTGGTCTGGGGTCAGGTCGCCAGGGATGTTGTGGGTGGTTTGAGTCGTGGACCTCTGGTTGCAGGTCTGGGGTCGTCCGCCTGGACGTTGTGTAGGACCCTTTGTTTTCGGGTCTAGTTAGGCTTGTTCGAAAGTTTCAGGATCTGCTTTTAGGGTCGTGCTGTGTGGATGGTCAACTGCGGGTGTCGCCGTCGTGGTTAGCCTGGAGAGGCTTTCCGTCCAAGGGTAGGGTTTTAATCTAATTTTTAGCGTTTTTTGTGCTTGTCAGTATTAGTGTGTTTTTCTCCCATTTGGAAGTGTTTCATTTTGGCTTATTCTTCCTTTTATAAGTTCTTATTCTCCACTAATGTGAGTTGTATAATTGTTGTATTGTGGATGCGTTAGCTAATTGGTTCTAGGCTACACTTATGTAGTTATAGTTGTTGTATGTGGATGCATTAGCGTAGTCGGTTCTAGACTACACTTGTGCAGTTCAGATTAATGGTTGTTTGATAGTTCAGACTAATGGTTGTTTGATTGAATTTAGCGTATGTAGATATACATAGTGCTGTAAACGAACCGAACCGAACCAAGTTTGGGCTGTTCGAGCTCGTGTTCGTTTATGTTTGAACAGTGTCGGTGTTCGTTCGTTTATTTTTCAAGCAAAAAATCGTGTTCGAGTTCGTTCGTTTAAAAGTTCAAGTTCGTTTGAGTTCGAATAATTTAATACATAAACATTTTAAATATGTTTGATTAACTCAAAATTTATTCGTTCGAACTCGAAAATAAAAGGATAAATTAAAAATATATTTATATTTTTGATTTTTTATTAAAAATATTATGTAAATATATAAAAAATAAAATAAAGTTATATTAAATTAATGTTCGCAAACATAATCGAACGTTCACGAACGAGCTCGTGTTCGTTCGATTATCAAATGAGCCTAATATTATATTCGAACTCGGCTCGATTAACAAATGAACGAGCTTTTGTAGAACACGAACGATTTTGTTCGCGAATGTTCGGTTCGTTTACATATCTAAATATACATATATGTTTTATTTATATATGCTATCTTTGGAAAAAAATATAGTGGAAGTAATAAGTATAATATTAATGTATTATAATTGGACGGTTTTGCTATTAAGCCAACAGTTGGCTCTATAGTGGAGCCAACTTTCTATATACAACAGTAAACCTATCATGTTAATAAAAATATAATCGGCTACTGTAAAGCTACTCATCAACAACACGACGGGCAATTGGTTTCGGAAAATCTAATCAAATAGATACACTGGAAACCGTTATCAAGCGCTCCCCCGCAGCCACCGGCTCCACCCCGGCAATGTCGGCGGTGAAACTATCTCAGCCACCGCCATCCGCCGCAGTCTGCACTCCCCGAGCCTCTCTCCTCACTCTCGCTATTGTGACCCTCGTCTCGTTCACTTACCTCTCCCTTAAATCCCTCCACTCCCCTTCTCTTCAATCATCCCCATCTGCTACACCTTCCTCTCTCACAGTACAACCCTCTACTCCGAAGGTACTACCAGTACTATCTGCATCCTTCTTTGGTATGTGGCATTTGTTGAATTTTTTAGTAATTTTTAGCTGTATCATGTGTTCTTTTTTTTTTTTGTCTTTAGATTGTTGAAGATGCCGGCGTGGATCGTGTCGAGAAAGTGGCGGTGCCGGAAAAGGAAGAAGGAGGCCGGAATGAAGACGCGGACGACGACGTTTACCATCTGTCGAAGGTGTTCAGGTTGAATTATGAAGAGATGTTGAGGAGATTTAAGGTGTACATATACCCAGATGGAGATCCGAATACCTATTACCAGACCCCTCGAAAACTGACCGGAAAATACGCCAGCGAAGGATACTTTTTTCAGAATCTCAGGGAGAGCAACTTCGTTACGGATGATCCAGATCTGGCGGATTTGTTCTTCATCCCAATATCTTGTCATAAGATGCGAGGCAAGGTATGTCTTTTATTCTCTTGTTTCATTCAGTTTCGCGTTCGTTGTTTAGAATAGAAATGTTTGGTTTCCGTTTACACAAGTTCCAGAAGATGTATGCTGCACCTTGGAGATGATTACTCAGCATACTTTAGGCTCCATTTTTCTTAACAAATTTGTTACCTTTCTTGCATACTTTGTTGCCACCACCATACTGACGTTATTTACCTGCTGTGTTACTATGCCAACTTCTCATTCGTTGATTCCCCCACACCTTCAATACATTTCCTTAGCACCTAGTCTGTGTTTTCTCCAAAACAGTCAATTTATGTACATAGATTCACACGAAATGAGAATGTGTTTCCTGAAGGCTTATTCTGGAAACCTTTCCACTTGATGGACTTACTATGAATGCTCATATATGTTTATAGCAATGGCAATGTAATGGTTTTCCCTTCGTACCAGAGTTGAGAAATTGATTCTAATATATGAATCTTGTTAATTATGTGCAGGGCATATCATATGAGAACATGACCATAATTGTCCAAAACTACGTGGAGAGCTTAATGCACAAGTATCCCTACTGGAATAGAACTTTGGGTGCAGATCACTTCTTTGTTACTTGTCATGATGTAGGAGTGAGAGCCACTGAAGGTCTTCCAAATCTCGTGAAAAATTCAATTCGCGTTGTTTGCTCCCCCAGCTACGATGTTGGATTTATACCGCACAAAGATGTTGCACTCCCTCAAATTCTTCAGCCGTTTGCTCTCCCAGCCGGAGGAAATGACATAGAAAACAGGTAATTATCTGCAATTTTAAACTCTTAAATATCATTCTACTCCATTGAGTTTTGTTTTTTATGCACATCTCTCAACTTTCTTCAATGGCTATCCTATATTTCTCTTATTAACTATACAAATGTTTTTTGTAGGACGACACTCGGCTTCTGGGCAGGACATAGGAATTCTAAGATTAGGGTCATACTAGCACGAGTATGGGAAAATGACACTGAACTTGATATTTTAAATAACAGAATTAATAGGGCAACTGGACATCTGGTGTATCAAAAGAGATTCTACAGAACAAAATATTGCATTTGCCCTGGTGGCTCTCAAGTCAACAGTGCTCGAATAACTGACTCCATTCATTATGGATGCATACCTGGTACGAATCCATTTTTTTTCCTTCCATGTAATATAGAAAAAAATGTATTTAAGGATGATTAGTTTGCATTCAACCAAACTTTTCCATTAGGCTCTGAAATTTTTTTAATAGAAATTATTCTGTTGTTATAACTGGAACAAATAGAATACTTGTGATAATTGGAACAAGAACCAAGTCTTGAGGCAACATCGTATACCTCTATTGCATAGCACTCTATTAGTTTGGAATTTCAGCAGTCTTGGAAACTGAGTCCGATACCAGTTAATTACTTTGTCAGAATTTTTAGAGTTCTAAGTTTTATCGAACTCTAACTTATGTTAACTGTTAACATATTATGATAAATTATTGAGATGTAAATCTGGAAGAGCAGTTTATTACTTTTTCAGAACTTTTGGAGTTGTAAATGTTGTTCAACTCTAAGTCTCTAACTTCTGATAACAAAATTTGATGAATTCAGATCATTGATAATGAGATGTGGGTTTTTAAGGTTTATGAAAACGTCAGTGATCATAAATTACATAAGGTTATAGAATCTTAATCTGTATAACGTAGTAACATAAATCTGCTGATCATTGTGAATTATCATTTGATGTGTTTATCTTGGGGACGTTTTGTGTGTGCATCTTGGGTATTCTTGTTCATGTTTTACTTATATAATGTTGTTACACTATAAATCATATGCGCATAGTTTAAAATGGCGACGCCTCGAGGCGAGGCGACCGAGGCGAGGGCCATATCGCCTCGCCACTGCCTGAGGCGACCCTGTTCGCGAGGCGCTCGCTTCAGGTCGCCTCGGCTCGCCTTTTCGAGTGGCGAGAGGCGCCTCTGAGGCGCGCCTTGACGCCTTTCAGAGAAATTAAAGGCGCTGTCCATTTAAAAAAACAAAGAAAAAGAAAATTGTGCCACGTTTTTTAAAGAGAATAAATTAAAACAGATCGAGCACTTTCTTCACTTCACCTCCCAGACCCACGAAGCAAAAAAACTTCAGTGAAAAATCCCCAAATGGCTTCTCCCCAAACTAGAACTAGGGAAAACTTCAGTGAAAAAAATCCCTAAATGGCTTCTCCCCAAACTAGAACTAGGGTTTCTGCGAAAGAACTCCCTATGCTTCTCAGACTTGAAAATTGCAGAAACCCACGGTAGACCCATCCCATTTCCGGCCTCCTCTGAACTCCGGCCACCATCTCGCCGCCGCCAAGACGGTAGGTGATGCGTGTCTTTTCCTTTTTTTTTTCCTTCTCCATTTTCTCTGTTTTCTCGTTCTCCTTTCTGCCGGTAATCTTTTTCTTCTTTCTTCATTTTTTTACTTTATTTATGTTTACTAGTATTGTCAATTCAATAGTCAAGGGTGACAGGGTGTAGCATCTTTTCTTTCATTTTTTTTTTTACTTTACACTTTTTATTTACCTTATTGCTAGTATTCACATTTAAGTTTTAGATGCTTTTAGTAATTACAATTAAATTTAATTTATGTTATTTTTTTTAGCATATTTAAGATTATTTTTGGCACTTAAACTTAAATATATGATATTACTATATATATATATATATATTTAAGCTTTGATAGTATATATTTAAGCTTTGATAGCCTGTGTTCGCGAGGCCTCGCCATGGCGAATCGCCTCGCCTCGTGGCGAGGCTATGGGCGAATCGCCTCTCCTCGCCATTCGCCATTTAAAACTATGTATGCGTTTATCTTGTGTCCTTGTTAACAAATAACATTCCTCGTTCAAGTGTGCTTGCTGGTAACATTTATGTTTTGGTCATTTATTCTGGGTCAGCATATGTTGTAGAGATGGAGGCTTGTAACTTCATCTATTTCATCGATTGCAACAGAGATTATAAATGATTAGATGCAGACAAAAATCACTGTTGTGAAGTTCATGTGAGGGAGGACTAGAATCACTGGGAGCTCGAGTGGTTGCTAGTGGACCAGTAGTCTCAATTCCAGGCTATGATTTCCACCAAAGATATTGATCTTCTCTTCCATTTGATATATAAGTCATGAAACTCCAGAAAAGATTATTTAGTGTCTGCATGATTATTGCTTGTTATATTTTCATCGGCTTAATTTTGGGCCTTATATACTTGTATTTAATTCAAGAAAATCATTGCATAGATACTTCTCATGCTGCAACTTCTGTGCATTCATAAGAATTCAGTTTTCTTCAACTCTCTTCATTAACTGTGGATGGATTTTGTGCAGTGATACTCTCTAATTACTATGATTTGCCTTTCAATGACATATTGAACTGGCACAAATTCTCGGTAGTACTAAAGGAGAAAGATGTGTACCAGCTGAAGCAAATTCTTAAGAACATAACACAAGAAGAATTTGTCGTGCTGCACAACAATTTGGTCAAGGTACAAATCTAGCCTTATCTACTTCCATCTGGGAGTTATCTTTCGTTGCAAGTCACAATTGTATCATTTTGCCCCTTTTGCATTGTCACATTAGGAAACTGGTATGGTGGTTTCTCTTGTAATGCTTAATTTTCATTCTATAATCTCCAATTTACAAATTCACCCAAGAGCATATATTGCCGTCAGAAAATTCAAATTCTTGATGATGCTATATTATCAGGTGCAAAAGCACTTCCAGTGGAACTCACCCCCCCAGAGTCAGGATGCATTTCATATGGTCATGTATGAACTTTGGTTACGCCATCACGTTGTTAAGTACTAACCTTCATAAAGCCTTTAAAATGCGTCAAAAGCATAGTCTCATACTGCTGGTTGTGAACCCTAAACGTCGTATATTACTATTTGGCAGTTGCAGTTTGTTCATTCATTCATTATCGTCTCTTCTGTTAGTTTTACCCTTTTAATCCGAATATAGAAGGAAGGAGAACTGGTCCGTGGGTTGTGTGTAAGTTGTTGAGTTCGTTTTGTACCTACATCGAGGATTTTGGTTAGCACAATCACCACATTAAACGTATTTTGGCTAGTGTTTTTGTATTCCTTAGTTCTTCTTTCAACGCATTGCGAGGGTTTGACTTTTTATGCCTCGCCTATTTCATTGTTGTACATATGGGATTTGATTCACTGTATTATATCCGGTAAACTTGAAATAAGTGAAAAAAGTGACACACGTGGTGATATAATTTATTGAGGAAATAACTATTTTCACCCTGCTCCACAGACGAAATAAGTTTTACACACGGTCAAATAATAAGTAAATCTTTTCACCTCCTAACGTACGAAATAAATTATATGATAAGCTATGCGACAAACAGATGAATATAATTACTAAAGTGCAAAATAGTTATGCGATCAATTATGCAACAAACAGATAAACATAATAGATAAAGTACGGAACAATACCTAATTGATAAAATGTGAAACAATTATGCGCTAAACCATGCGACAAACAGAAGGTAATTGAAAAAGTACAAACAGAAGGTAATTGAAAAAGTGAAAAATAGTTATGCGATCAAGATCAAGTATGCGACAGACAGGAAAATATAATTGATAAAGTGCGAAACAATTATACGATAAAATATTCCAAAGACATGTGAAGATAGTTGATGGAAAAAACTACGCGACAAACAAACAAAGATAATTGATAAAGTGCGAAAACATTATGTGACAAACAAACGAAGACAATTGATAAAGTGCGAAATATTTATTCGAAAGTTATGCGACAGAAAAGAGAAAATAATTGATAAAGTGCGAAATGGTTATAAAGACAAGAGAAGATAATTGATAAAGTGCGAAATAGTTATACGATAACATATGCGACAAAAAAGCGATGATAATTTATAAATTTGATAATATTATATAATAAACTATGCGACAGATAGACGAAAATTATTGATAAAGTATGAAACTATTATGCGATAAACAATGCGAAAGAAGGCGAAGATAATTTATAAAGTGCGACATATTAATACGATATGATATGCGACACACAAGCAAAGTTCATTGAGTAAAGTATGAAACACATTATGCGATAAAGCATGCAACAGACATGCGAAGTTATTTGAGCAAGCGCGAATTACTTATGCGATAAAGTATGCGACAGACAAGCGAAGATCATTGAGCAAGTGCGAAACAATTTGTGCGATAAATGCAACAAACAAGCAAAGCTAATTGAGAAAGTGTGTCTCAAGCGAAGATCATTGAGCGAGTGCGAAACAATTTGTGCGATAAAATATGCAACAAACAAGCAAAGCTAATTGAGAAAGTGTGAGTTACTAATGCGATGAACTATACGACTGACAAACAAAGTTCATTAAGCAAGTGTGAAACAAATTATGCGATAAAGCATGCAACAGACAGATGAACTTAATTGAATAAGTGCGAATTACTTATGTGATAAACTATGCAACAGACAGACAAAGATAATCGAGCAAGTGAGATCTCATCATGAGGTAAATTACGCGACAGACAGGCGAAGATAGTCGAGCTAGTGCGATATCATTATGCCATAAACTACGCGACAAATAAACGAAGATAATTGACAAAGTGAGATGCGATATACTATGCGACAGACATGCAAAAATAATTGATAAAGTGCGAAAGGCATTATGCAAAATACAATGCAACAGAAAGGGGAAGATAATTTGATAAAGTGCGAAACAGACTATTCGATAAGATATGCAATAGTCAGAAAAATATAAATGACAAATGGCGAAACATATTATGCGAAAGACATGAGAAGATAATTGATAAAGTGAAAAAACAAATTATGCGATAAGCTATATGAGCAGGCGAAGAAAATTGATAAAATGAAAAAAGATTATTCGATGAACTATGTGACAGACAACATAAATAACTGATAAAGTGCGGCAAAAATTATGTGATGAACTATGCAAAAGAAGGAATGGATATTTCACATCCTTTTTCATTCAAAAAAGCAACTTCAAAATGTCGACGCCGGCTTTTTTGAAGACAATGATATCCCTTTGTTCCACTCCATTTTCGTGCAGGAAGGTACGTCATCCCCTCTCAAAAATATCGTTGCCCAGGCTGAGAGCAGCGATGACTCTCTAGATCTTACCCCGACTGTTTTTGAACTGACACTCTGTTATTTTCTTCTGTCGAAAATATTCATCAGCATTACGAGGTAGAACCTGCATTAACTGAATTTAACTGTGTACGAATTTATTTTAACTAAAATTAATACATATGAATAATCAATAATCTACTATTACAGAAAACATTTGTTGGGAGACCCACCACTGCTAGGTATGCGACCCGGGTCGACCAACGGATTAGTCGGGGCATAGATCCGGATACCGTGGCTAGCTACCAAAAAAAATAAAAAAAAATCTACCATTAAAATGAACTAATAACATCTTACCGTTATTGGGTTGCGGAGTTAGACGATCTTAACCATGAAATTCATTGTCATTTTTTTTCTTTTATTTTACTTTTTCTTCTGGGTAACAGAGTGTTAGGGTGTAGATGAAATTTCTAGAACCATTCATATAGTATTTATACTGATACGTTACGCTTCAAGTTGCCTCATAATCACTGCTTAATCGTCATGCAGAAATGACTGTTCGAATACGTGACTGATTGCCTAGTAAAATACGAGTCATTATGCGACTGTTTTGCGTCAGAATAGATCGCAGGGTAATAATATTTTTGAAATGGTAAATTTAAATTCTGCGATTAAACTGCGTAAGAGATATATCAAAACTGTAATCCTCAGTACCGAATTTTTGTTTTTTTTACTAAAGTATGCGATATTTTCGGTGAAGAATCATATGCATAATCAATCGCATATTAAAATTTTTGAAATTTTATTTTATGTGATTAATAATATTAATAATAATAATAATGATGATGATGATGATGATGATGATGATGATGATGATGATGATGATGATGATGATGCGAGCTTTTATTCACTTTGAGACACCAACAGTTACTTTACTTTTACTTTTACACAAGTCCACATACATCCCCTTGGCCTATCCCAAAGAAACGACTGATTGGAGCGTGAGTGATTGCCTCATAAAATTCAAGTCATTAATTATACAATTGTTTTGCGTCAGAATAGATCGCAGAGTAATAATATTTTTGAAATAGTAAATTCAGATTCTGTGATTAAACTGCGTTAGAGATACATCAAAACTATGATCCTCAGTACCATGTTTTTTTTCCCTAAATATGCTATTTAGTAGGCGAAGAATTAGACGCATAATTATTATTTAATACACAAAAATTGAAGTTTTCTTCACTTTGAGACGCAACCGGTTAATTTATTTTTACTTTTGTACTGTTACACATATATCCCCAATCCCAAAGAAATGACCGTTCGAAGACGTGAGTGATTGCCTCGTAAAATGCGAGTCATTAATTATGCATTGTGTTGCGTCAGAATAGATCGCAGAGTAATAATAATTTTGAAATGGTAAATTTGAATCATGCGATTAATTAGTACCAATTTATTTTAACGAAATATGAGATATATATTAGGTGAAGAATAAGACGCCAACGATTACTTTACTTTTACTTTTTACGTTGTTACGCAAACATATCCAATCCTAAAGAACAAAACAAAAAAAGAAGAAACGCAAAAAGTTACCCTTCAATCTTGCGACAATACTCCGCATAGTTAGAACTAAAAGAACTGAAAGCAACGTCATGGCGTATGAATTTGGTGAAGACTTCTGATATGGGATAACATACCTAAACGACTAAACCTGCCGAATCATCGAACCTAGCGAACTGATCGAGCAGACCAGCCGAACCGTCCTGGTCGAGCAGATACTGAAAGGGTGGTTGTGGTCGAACATCACAAGAACAAGAGACTCTGGATAGAAAGATAGCCTGAAGAGCGATTCCGGTGCAGGAAGAACAGGTGGATCCCAGACCCGTGGAGGGTCTGGTCGAAGATCGACCTGTCATACAACTGGTTGTTCGATCGACCATTTCCCAGACTTGGAGCAATTAGTGGATTGACCTAGAGTTGGTCGAGCATAAGAGCCTTCGGGGAGATCTCAAAGGAATCAAGCCCCATGTGCGGAGGACATGTGGCGTGACCTGATAGGTCCATTATGTACAACCGTCTCTGACACACACACGCACTATGTGTTGTACGAACGGGCAGATCCGGCAGTTTTGGGCAGCCAACTCAGCTTATCCGGGCAGCCATCTAGAAACAGGTACCCTACCTTTATATATAGGGGTAGGGTTTACGATTTGAGCACGATTTTATCCATTTTTACTCTTGAGATTCGAGTAGAGCTTGAGACTGACTTAAGCATCGGAGGCTCTTCAACGAAAAATCACTCCGGTGTGAGAGTTTTTGCAGGTAGTCGGCGTTGTACCGGCGTGGAGGAGGAAGGCGAGCCGATTTCCAGCTGGTCAGAGTGTTAGACGTTACCAATCTCAATATTTATTTTATATATACTATCATCTCAATATTTATTATATATATATATATATATATATATAGGGAAGGGTTCTAATAAGAACCCCTTCTAGTGTAAGAACTAGGAACTGATCTCAACCCTTGATATGTAGTATTTTGACGGAGTGGATTACACCTTTTTTAGTAGCAACAACATCACAATGAGCAATTAATTAATAGGTGGAGGGTAAATTAGGAATAATAAACTTTTGAGATTCCATTTATTATGGGAAGTTTGGATTTTAGGAATCTGTATCGTCACATAGAAGGAAATTCCTATCAATCTAGCAATACAATATGAGAAAAAAATTTCTGCTGCATCTTTATTGCTACGATTGGCAAAAAAAAATAAAAATAGCCTCCGTAATAAATCTACGCGTGACGAGAGCAGCCGCGACAAGTTTTCCAACAGAAATTTCACAGCACCGTGAGTCATTTTACCTCGAAAGTCTTTGGTTGATTGATTGTAAAGTGTGCTGTATCTGGCGTGGTTTATCAAAGAACAGTTTAAAAAAATTGCTCTGAACAATTGGTAGAACAGGACGCGTGAAAGGTGCAACTTTTGCCCTTCTTTTTT